TCTTCAAACAATAGACTTTAGATTTGCTAAATCTTCATGTAATCTTAAAATAATCTTCACATTCAATTATTTGGTTACTTGTCTAATAATCTCTCCATTCAATAATTGTCTAATCATCTTCACATTCAGTGGCGGAAGGACGTTGGGGGCGAGGGGGTCACGCGTCCCACTGATTTTTTAATTTATTTTATTTTATTTTTTGTTTGGGTTTGAGTTTGGTCTTGTTTACAGTGCGCTTGCTACACAGTCCTTCCAAATGCATCCCAAACACACTGACACCACACGGCCCCATGGCTTTTTTTTTTTTTTAATCTCAATCCCAACCTTTTTTAAGTCTCAATCCCAACCAAACACTGACACACAATTTTTTTTTGGGTGAGTGCATGTAACTCCAATTACGACAAGGCTAAAATCCTAACGGTGTATGAAATTTTTTATTTTTTTATTTATTCACAGCACTTGTTAAGTATTTTCATATTTTTTTTTTGTCTTCATTATCTCCCTTTGTTGCTTTGCAATTTACCGACTCACGATTTATCATATTAGGATAACACAACACAAATTTGGGATCATACTACAATCTTGGTATCTTCTCTGTGTGGTTTAGAGGTAACTTTATTTAATTATTTTTACTTTTAAATAAAAATTATGAGTATTAATTTATAGTTACTTGTTAAATTTTGATTTGTAAAATTGTTTTATTTGTCATTATTTATGTTAAAATAAGAGATTTTGATATGCTAAAATTATGAACCTTAATTGGTATTGATTTATATTAAATTAGGGATTTTGGTTTGTTGTTTTTTGTGCTAAAATTAGGGATTTGATTTGTGCTAAAATTAAAAATATTAATTTGCAGTGATTAATATTTAAATTAGGGATTTTGATTTGTTATAATTTGTGCTAAAATTAGAAAATTTGATTTGTTGTGATTTATGTTAAATTTAAATTTTTTGATTTGTATTAAAATTGGAGATTTTCATTTGTGGGGGTTTGTGATTTTGATTATGAATTTTTATTTTGATTTTTAATTTTTTCAAACAGTCATGGAGAAATATTTCCAAAGAAAATCAAAGTTAGAATCATCTCTTCCTCAAGAAGAAGATGATAATTATTCTTCTGCAAAACAAAGTTGCACAGAAATCAACTTAGTAGACCTTCCTGTAGATCCAGGACTACGGCCTCGGATTATGGACTATAACGCTAATGATCGAGACCATGTTCGTAAGGTAAATCTACAAAAGGATTCTTGTCAATCTCGTGATCAAAATTTTCCACAAAAATTATTTGGACGAAAACTTTAACGATTTAATCAGACTTGGTTTAGTGAATTTGCTAATTAGTTGGAGTATAGCATAGCAAAAGATGCAGTATTTGTTTATGAATATTAATTTTTAATATTTAATATTAGTTCGAAAAATTATTATTATGTTATTGTTATTGATTGGAGAAGAAAAATTTTGAGATTATAATTAAAAGGTGTCCCCTAAATTAAATTCCTGATTCTGCTATTGTTCACATTCAATTGTTAGGTTAATTGTCTAATAATCTTCACATTCAATTATTTATTAGGTTAATTTGTCACTAGTGTAACTTGAAATATTAGAGAGGGAGAGAGGATAGGGTAAAGGAATCAAATCTCTTGTTTGGTATATCCAAATCACTAGGAATTAAGATTGAGTCTATCCCTAATCGAATGTGTGACTAATGGTTGCCAATAGAACCACCAAGGATCCTTTAGAGTGAAATTTTCTTGGTAGGATGGATATTCGACTCTTCATCTGTTTCCATCTTTTCCATTTCTTTTCATTGACAATTATGCGTGTAATCAAAATATTTAAATTTAAAAAAAAATAAAAATAAAAAATCAGATGTGTTATGTAATGGAATACCTAATGCCATATGTCTCTTAGTTGTTAGTCTTATATACCATTTTCCCAAAGTTACTTATACATCCCATAAACTTACTTCCACATTATCAGATAGGCGTATTGGGTGTCTTTACATGTAGAATAAATCTAAATCATAAAATAAAAATTTTGGATAATTCTAGGAATTCGTAATATTATTCTTTGAAAAATTATTATCACTCAACTATCGAATTGTTTAGTAACATTTTTTATTTGGAAAATTTTCTACTACACTATTAGTTTAAAGCAGTACATGGTAATTTTCTATTTTTTGTGTTTTAGATTTTAAAATGTATTGCCCAGTTTAGTTTCATTTTTCAAATTTATTTATAAAAAAATGTATAAATTAAAATTAAAAGCTAGTTTGGGTGGGAAAAATGAAATGTAAAATAAAAAGCACATACTTTCATATAATTTTCTCTTTTTGAGGGTAAAAATATTTTTAATATTTATTTTCATCAAACTGATTTATATTATTAAAAAAATTAAAAATAAAATTTTGAAACAAATCTAACCAGATTGAATAATTATTATTTTACACATTTCTAAAATTTATAATTTTAAAACCTATTATCATGATCTATCAAACAAGATTAGTACATTTTTTGCTTTTATTATTTTTTGAAATTTGATAATATCATTAACTTTCATTGCACATTTCTTTTTATTTTTATTTTTGTTTTTGTTTTTATAAAATTATATATTTCAAACCTACTTATTGAGATCTTTATTGAATATAAATTATGAAAAAATTAAAAAATATGAAAATTTTTATGAAGTAATTGTACACACCTGTTAGTGTGCTAACATGAAAATTATTCATATGCATTATCGATTTCCAATTTTCCTTGTTAATATAGAAACTTCTCATTTTATTTTGTTATAATATATGTATTATTTGTTTTATTGAAAGAACTATTTCTTTTATATTTAATTTCAAAAGCCGCCTAGATGAATTTATTTCATTTCATTTCATTTTTTTTTTTTTTTGAAACAGCAAGAAAAAGACTTTATTGATGGAAAACCAGTACAATGTACAAAGTGAATTACATCAATAAAGACAAGAGGGAGGTGCAAAGGCATCACAATGGGCTAGATCATCCCAATAGTCACAAAAAAAAAAACTAGAATAGCCAATACGATGTTACATTCTACACATCAATTCGACTTTTAATAATAATAATAATAATAATAATAATAATAATAATAATAATAATAATTTCACAAATTATTCTAAACACAATTTTTTTTCTTCTTATAAAATAACCAAAAAATCAAAAAAATAAACCAAAATAGCCAAGTTCCCAAATGAGGGCTAAATTTAAATCTACTCTACACAGTCAAATTTTAAACACATTTCTTAATATTTCTCTTGAATTTATAGCATTTTTGTATATCATTATTTGAAACATGTTTCCGCCGCAATCTAGCCCATTGAATTAATCAATACACTTTCTCAGATTTGTCCAAAATACATTTTTCTCCTCACATCCTAAAAATTAAAAATACTCCATTGGCAAAAAAAATTATGCAATTGTCCTAATAAATAAAATAAAATTATCCAAATACCGTCTAATATCAAAATAAAATTATCATACTACCATTATTTTCATCCACTCACCACCAAATTCCTCTCTCTCTCTCTCTCTCTCTCTCTCTCTCTCTCTCTCTCTCTCCCACCATATTATTATCTAACATTCTTCAGCAACACATTAAAATGCTTGTAAACAATAATGTTGGTGGTCCTGATTGAGAGTGGAAGAGGGTGGTGCGATGGTTAGATACAGTGATATTACTGATTGAGATAAAATAGAAAATAAGAGAAGTGAGATAGGAAAAAGAAAAAATAAAATAAAATGTTTAATTTATAAAGGTTAATATAGGTATATCAGGGGAAAAAAATTGTTACTTGTGACATACATTTTGATAGTCTGACTTAACGATTGATTAATAAAGGAGGCTATTTATTATGTGATTGGAAACCTCAAAGGGTAGAATGAAATTTCTCAAATATGAATAGAGAATCTATTATATTTTTAGTTAATCTCAAGATATATTTGTAATTTACTTTTTTTTTTTTTTGAAACAGCAAGAAAAAGACTTTATTGATGGAAAACCAGTACAATGTACAAAGTGAATTACATCAATAAAGACAAGAGGGAGGTGCAAAGGCATCACAATGGGCTAGATCATCCCAACGAGGTTGGCACCAAACTAGCTCATCCTATCATTTGCTAGCACCCCCAGAGTTGGTGAGAGACCAACGAGCAAACACCAAAATACAAAAAGACCTTGCAATCACCCAAACCCAGCATAACACTCTCGAACCTCTCTCTATTATTACCACTATTAACAGAGGTCCTTGATCAATTTAACTTGATCAATTTAATGACTTAACCTTAATGAATTTAATGAAATTTTTTTGTCAAAACTTTACTGATGTTATTAATTGGACTAAATTGACACCTGCAGGACCACACCCAAACTTACCCAAGATGGGCACACAACAATCAACCCAGATGACAGCAGTAAGCACCAGCAGATAAAAAAAAAAACAGAAACAGACCCTTTGCATAGCAGAACAGAACAGACCCTTGCGCTTACCATTGCAGCCACCAGCAGCAACCATCATAATAGAAACAGAAACAGAAACAGGCCCTTAAGATAATACAACCTTACATTCTCCTACCCAAACAAAATCTGATTTGCTCCAGATTATGCAGAAAATCAGTTACAGAAAAAGGGAGATCCGAGGACGTGGCTTTTAACCAGATTGCTAGCCTAATAATGATAACTTCAAGAAGTTCTTCCATGTTAGGTTGAGAATCTTGGAAGATGCACTCGTTCCTGTGCTTCCAAATGGACCAGAGAGCCACCAAGGGGATGGCATTCCAAATTATTTTTTCAGCTTTCATGACCTTGCTTCCAGCCCACCACTGTAGTAAGCCATCAACAGTTTGAGGCACTACCCAGAGGGCTCCCCACCATTGCAGGAGACCCGTCCAAACTCTCCAGACCGAAGGGCACCAGATCAGCACATGTTGAACTGTTTCTTGTTCAGCTTTGCAGAAAATACAGACAGTGGCAGCACTATCCTCCAGCAATAGCATTCCAAATTACTTTTTCAGCTTTCATAACCTTGCTTCCAGCCCACCACTGCAGTAAGCCATCAACAGTTTGAGGCACTACCCAGAGGGCTCCCCACCATTGCAGGAGACTCGTCCAAACTCTCCAGACCGAAGGGCACCAGATCAGCACATGTTGAACTGTTTCTTGTTCAGCTTTGCAGAAAATACAGACAGTGGCAGCACTATCCTCCAGCACACCAATTCTGTGCAAGAACACTGAAGTTTTTACCTTATGCTTCCATGCGAGCCATCCAAAAAATTGAACTTTAGGTGGAAGGTACTTAATCCACACTAATCTGCTAGAATTATTGACTTCACCATGCTCAACATCAGTATGCTTGTATAAGGTTGAGACAAAAGACTGACCAGATTTGGAAGCTAACCACAAAACACTGTCTTTCACAAGCAGATTCAAGACAGGACTAGGACTGGTAAAGAGGTTCAGATTGAGGAGTTCTTCTTGTTCCCATTGAAATAAGGCCCTTCTGAAGCTAATCACCCAATTTTCAGAGTTTCCCCTTTTATCAGCATAGTCCCTTAGAGTCCCATCCTTCTCATTTGACAACTTGAACAATCGAGGGAAAGATTCTTTGAGGCTAGCTCCACCAGTCCAGCAATCATGCCAGAAGGACACTCTACAACCATTACCCACTCTAATCTGAAGGTTATTAATATAAAATTGCAGGAGGCTGACATTTTGATTTGCTGCCCCCAATATATCACCCCAAATCTTGGATACTCTACCTCCTGAATGAATATCTGGACGCCAATTTCCACCTTCAGCTTTGTATTTGCATACTAACACCTGCTTCCACAGAACTTGTTCCTCATTGGCATACCTCCACCACCACTTCATTAATAAACAAACATTCATGTCTCTGATTCTTCTAACACCCAATCCCCCATGCTTAGTACTTTTAGTTACCTCATCTCATCTCACTAGATGAACTTTTCTCTTAAGTTCAACTCCACCCCACAGGAATGAAGCTTGTAACTTTTCAATTTCTTTTGCTATCCCTTCTGGAATTTTGAACAGAGAGAGGTAGTACACCGGCAGACTAGATAACACTGATTTAATTAGTGTTAATCTTCCCGCAAAGGAGAGAAGTCTCCTCTTCCAACCAGCAAGCCTGTGCTTTATCCTATCCAAGACAGGCTTCCAGAACACCTTTCTATGGGGGCTTGCTCCCAGTGGCAACCCCAGATACTTGATTGGTGTTGACTTAACTTTACAGTTTAGCATACCTGCGAACTCATGAAGCCCAGATTCAGAGATACTAAACCCACAAATAACACTTTTGTGGTAATTTATTTTAAGCCCTGAAACAATTTCAAAACACCTAAGGATCCTTTTTAAATTAAGCACTTCTGACCATTCAGCATCACAAAACAACAAAGAATCATCTGCAAATTGAAGATGTGACACAACCACATTATTGTCACCAAAAACTACTCCTTTTAGCAGCCCCAACTCCCTAGCTCTCATCAGTAACATGTTCAATCCTTCTGCAGCCAAGTTGAACAGGAAGGGGGATAGTGGGTCCCCTTGTCTGAGACCTCTTTCAGGACTGAACTCCTTAGTTGGTGAGCCATTAACGAGGATGGAGATTCTAGCTGAAGAGAGACAACTTTTTATCCAAGAGATCCACTTCGCTCCAAAGCCAAAGCTAGATAGCATTGAGAATAGGAATTCCCAGTTGAGTGAATCATAAGCCTTCTCAAAATCAATCTTGAGAATTAGTCCTTTTCTCTTAGTTTTTTTCCACCCATCCACTATTTCATTTGCAATCAAAGCCCCATCGAGTATGTTTCTACCTCCTAGGAATGCTGATTGTGCTTCACCAATTACATCTGACATGACTTTTTTTAGTCTACTAGCAAGAACCTTGGAGAGTATTTTATACACTGACCCTATAAGACTAATGGGTCTAAACTCACTTAAGTTGGCTGCATCAATTTTCTTAGGTATAAGGGTGATGAAAGAGCTGTTAAAGCCTTTAGCCAATCTGCCATGAAAATCTGTGAAAAAGAGCATCACATCTTCTTTGAGCACCTTCCAGAACTTCTGGAAAAATAGCAAGTTGAAACCATCTGGCCCCGGGGCTTTGTTGCCATTACAGTCCTTGACGGCTTCCCGAACCTCCACTGCTGAAAATTCTGACTCTAGGATATGAAATGAATCACTTTGCCTTACACTTTTAAACTCCCCACCTATTATAGGTCTAAGTCTCCACTCTTCTGAGAACTGGTTTGTAAAATGTGACCATACCTCAATTTTGACCTGAATTGGTTCCTCAATTGCCACCTCCCCTACAACAATGGAGTTGAGGGCATTTTTATTTTTTCTACTAGTAGCCATGACATGAAAATATCTTGTGTTCCTATCCCCTTTCATATTCCAGTCGAGCCTTGACTTTTGAAGCCATTCCCATTCCAGCATTCTACTTAATCTCCACATCTCATTCCTTGCCTCACTTTTTTGTTTGATTTCAGCATCCTCCAGAGGTCTTACCTCAGCCCTCAAATCAAGTGCATTCAGTTTATCTTCTGATGCTTTTAGTTGAGCTGCAGTATTACCATATACTTCTTTATTCCATTGTTTTAGTACCATCTTTAAAGCTTGTAATTTCCTTAGCAGAGTGACCCCAGCAGTCCCTTGAATCTGTAACTCCTTCCATGTATTCTCCACAAAAGGTGTGAACTGTGGGTGCAATAACCAGGCATTTAAGAACTTGAAAGGTTTAGGACCCCAGTCCCTCTCATCTTCCATAAGCACTATCGGGCAATGGTCTGAAACCAACCTAGGCAGTCCCCACAGTTTGTATCTATATCTTTCAATCCACTCAGGGCTAAGAAGGAATCTATCTATTCTGCTCCATTTGTGACCATCATGAGCATTACACCAAGTAAATTTTCTCCCTACCATGGGCAGATCAGTCACCTCGCATCTATCTATGAACTCATTAAACTCTTTCATGCCCCTGTCCCTCCTTGAGCTTCCTATTCTTTCCCCCAAATTTCTGATCTCATTGAAATCACCTCCTAGACACCATGGTTTGGGGAAAATGGACTTTAAATACAACAATGACTCCCATAACTTACCTCTCCTCATAATATCATTTGGGGCATAGACATTTAAGATAACACACTCAAAGGAATTCAGAATAGTACCTGAAAGTAGGATGAAGTTTTTGTTGCTACAGCATTCTGAAAGTTGAAAAACATCAGGGTCCCAAATGCATAACAATCCATCTTGAGAATTAGTCCTTTTCTCTTGGTTTTTTTCCACCCATCCACTATTTCATTTGCAATCAAAGCCCCATCGAGTATGTTTCTACCTCCAAGGAATGCTGATTGTGCTTCACCAATTACATCTGCCATGACTTTTTTTAGTCTACTAGCAAGAACCTTGGAAAGTATTTTATACACTGACCCTATAAGACTAATGGGTCTAAACTCACTTAAGTTGGCTGCATCAATTTTCTTAGGTATAAGGGTGATGAAAGAGCTGTTAAAGCCTTTAGCCAATCTGCCCCTGTCATGAAAATCTGTGAAAAAGAGCATCACATCTTCTTTGAGCACCTTCCAGAACTTCTGGAAAAATAGCAAGTTGAAACCATCTGGCCCCGGAGCTTTGTTGCCATTACAGTCCTTGACGGCTTCCCAAACCTCCACTGCTGAAAATTCTGACTCTAGGATATGAAATGAATCACTTTGCCTTACACTTTTAAACTCCCCACCTATTATAGGTCTAAGTCTCCACTCTTCTGAGAACTGGTTTGTAAAATGTGACCATACCTCAATTTTGACCTGAATTGGTTCCTCAATTGCCACCTCCCCTACAACAATGGAGTTGAGGGCATTTTTATTTTTTCTACTAGTAGCCATGACATGAAAATATCTTGTGTTCCTATCCCCTTTCATATTCCAGTCGAGCCTTGTATCATTGGAGTTTGAATTATCACCCTCCCCTTTGAGTCCACCTTCATTACTACTGGACGTGCAATGGACTAGCTCAATGGGCTGGGAATTTAGATGTTCTTGGCCCAAATCAACCTCCAAATGAATTCCAGGCCTTAACTTTTGGGTTTCACTTAAGCTTCTGATAAAGCCTTTTATGGCTACCTGCCCATCCTCTTTTTGAATCTCAGCACCTTTTTCCAAAGCATGACTGCACGGTTGTAGCTGTTTCTGCTGTAGACCTTCCACTTCCATCATTGTTTCACCCACGCCTGAACCTGTTTCAGTTGATTTCCCTATGCACTCTTCAGTCTCTTTCACCACTGATATTTGAATACAACTGTCACCTACCTCCCCCTCACTTCCTTCTTTCAGCTTAGAAGTAGAATCACCTTTTACCGTATGATTTTTTTTTACCATGTCAGCCTCCACCTCCCCATCCTTGTCAGCTTCTTCTCCCTCCCTCTTGCTCTCTGCAGTTGACTGTAACATCTTTTTAGTATTGGAGCTAACACCCTCTTCACCATCTTCATTGTTGATTCCTTTACCACAGGATGATACCTCATTGATAATCTGTTCCTCACAAACTCTTATGGGGTATACTCTACCTTTGCATTCTAGATTGAGACATGTATTGATCAGATCCATAGCACCTGTAACTATTTTAATCTTCCCACAACAGAAAGAAGCGGGCTCACAAATATCTCCATCTAATTGTAGCACTTCCCCCCAAAGACGGCCAATCTTTGTGAAGGTATTGGAACTCCAGAGATTCAGGGGTACACCGTAGCAGCTAAGCCAAACAGACCTCTCCTGTTGGAGTTGCATACCTACTGACCACTCTGTGATGTACTCACACCATTCCTGGAACCATACATTAAGCTTGCTGGTTGAACTCTTCAGAGCCTCCACAGAGTTGAACGATAGGACTACATCACGCCCTCCTCCTGCTCTCACTCTTACATCCTTCATACCTTGTTCTTTGAGTTTTTCTTGTACCTCCATAGCAGAGTGATCGGGTTTAAGCCTCATAATCATGCTCTCATACAACCAGCCATTTCCTATTTCTTCGACTTTGATTGTAGTAGTGTGTTGACCTCTTGGTTGGGCTCCTTTGATGACCTCTACATACGACCTGCCATCAATGCCTTGATTCCACCTTTTTGGTCCAGTTATATCTGATGGTCTTCTTAAGTCCAGTTGCCTCCTCTGTACTTGTTTCCACCTCATCTGGTCTCCTTTTTCTTTTCCATATACTGCACTATGGACTATCAAGGCTTTGTCATCTACCTATATTCCGTTTGCCTTTTGTTCTGCTACACTGGCTGCAACAGGACAGTTAAAGCGAACAAAGCCAAATCTTGTGTTTGTTGTTTTCCTCCTCTTTTGTGGAATGAATACATCCTTAACTACACCAAATTTTAGGAACAAAGAGTACATACTCCTTGGATCCATTGACTCTGGTAGGTTATCCACAAAAAGAGTGTACATCCCTACTCGCCTACCTTCCTTCAGCCCAACTTGATTTGAATAACTTCCTCTCTGCTTTACCACTGGGATCCAGCCACCATCCTGCTTGTATGATCCAGCCATCGTTTTTCAGTTCCAATTTGAACTATGTTACTAGTTGTAGGTGTAGAACACCAGATCTCATTTCCAGTATTCATTTCATTTCATTTAGTTTTAAACTAATTGTTACATGAATAATTAGAAGGTGAGAAATTCTCTATATGGCAAAACAGAGAAAATTTTCAATTTCCAAACAATGGAATTTTTAGTTTTTGTAAAACAATTATATGTATGTTTGTAGGAGAGAAATATTTCATTTTTTAAAGTTTTTCAATTGATTTTTATATGAATAATTAGAAAATATTTTCTGGAAATTGAAAAGTTTATCAATTGAGGGACTTCCAA